TATTTTGTTCGTGACGAGCGTGAGTTTCCTCTCGACTTCGTCATAGTATGCCATAAGGTCGGCGTCACCTTGTCGAACCATTTCCAGATTCTGACGTAGTACGCGTAGGGACGTTTTGTCCGCGTATGTGCAATCTAGCCTGGCCAGAATTGCATCAAAATTTAACACGGTATTGTGGGACGTGAGTAGCGCTCGCGCGGTACCGCAAATTTTGTTTTTCAAAATGGCCACAGCCTCGTAGTGTGCCTGGCTACCTACATAAATTTTAAAGACTTCGTATGCATCTACGGCAGATTGCCTCCACGACACATATTCCTCATGGTTTCCGCTAAAGGTCGGCACCGATTTCACAATGTCTAACTTAACTTCGCACTTTATGTTAGGGTCGATGGTCACTCTTTTAAAGGTTTCTACTTGAGGGGTTTCTATAGTTAGGGCATTCACTTGATTCCTCATTCTTTGGATTTCACTGCTGAAATCCTGTGTTAAACGCCGTTCTTGTTCGGCGAGGGCGTTGGCGATCGCGCCGTCTACCAATGCTTTTATCATTCCTGCATCCATTTCTGACCGATTTTGTTTCGGCTGTGGGGGCGATACCCTAGGTCTAAGCTTTCGTCACTATCGGACTGTACTTTTTGTTCCCTATAACTCCAATTCATGGGCAATTACTGAGAAAAAATCAAACCACACAGCAAGATATCAAATGAACAAACTCGGGCGATCATTTATTTAACCACACAGATGCACTCATTCGGTTTCAAAACAAAAACTTATTGTATTGCGTGACGTTCACACTTGCACTGTCAGATATTTAAATTTATTATGTTTTTTTTCAAGCAGCGTTTTCACGCAGCAGCTTGAGTGGTTTTAATTAATCTTTTTAATTTTTTATTTTTCTTTCTCTCTTTTACTTTTTTCAAAATCTATTATCTTTTGCGAACAGTCACTTACATGGTTTTATCTTTTGGGGACGTGGATTCTCTTAGGATATTTCCAATCCCGTTGGGCGCCAATTATCTTTAATCTATGTTAGTCCTAGCTGCGGTCCGGTGCGTAGGCTCCGGCGGCAGCGATCGGCTTCCGGTGGCCCGCTCTGGTAGCGGGGGGAGGTGGCTTGAATTGGTGTTGGTCCGAGCTGCGGCTCCGGCGGCAGCGATCGGATTCCCGTGTCCCGCTCTTGTAGCGGGGGGCGGTGGTTGCCGTTTGGCAACTGGGTCTTCTTATGGAGATTACGTTGAGAGGGTGACTGCCCTCTATTTCGCTGGCCCTTAAGGCTCAACGATATAATCAAGTTAATAAATGTTTTACGACATGTGTCGGAGTAGAAGTGAACGAACCGTTCGTTTATTTGTAAAATCTTAAACTAAACTTAACTCCCAGATCCCCCGCTCGCGAACCATTCATGCAAGAATGGAATTCGCTGACCACCGCACATCCGCCAGAATCAGGCGACGGCCGTTGGCCAATGGAGTGAGGGACGGCCCACAACAGCGTCAGTGCTGTGTCAGCTTTCTGAACTGAGCGCTGCAAGATGTTATGTGTGGGGTGGCGCAAGATGATGAAGTTAAGGGGGTGCGATAACTTGTAATATGTGTTAACTTATATACCTTAAGTAGGGTATCACCAGCCTTATTTTTGCCAAATTGTTGAAACTCTCACATTTATTGACATTCTGGTGCCTTCTCCCTGGGCACCTACACTTCCTGCCCAGCCCTCTCACCCGTTCTTCTGCTCTATGCACCTACTGCAGTTCCTGCTTGTAATTTTTCACATATTACTCATACGCCCCACTGCCCAGCTCACACTTGCACAAAGTTCATATGTCGCCTGGTCGCTGTCGCTGTTGCTGTCTCTGTTCTATCTTCCCTTCTCTGAGAGCCGTACCCCTTCCTTTCTGGCGCGCAATCGGTCGTCTCCGTAGCTTTGACATTGACTTTGAAGATAGCAAAGAGATTGTGTATAAGTGACTCGCTCTCTCTCTCTCTCTATCTATCTTCTTGTTTAAAATTAGAATATAGTTACACACATTTGTACGGGTCTCTTATCGCCGTTTGCCAGGGCGCGGCTAGGAGTGGGGCGGTGGGCGGTTGTAAAGGGGGAGTGAGGATGAGTGTCTTCCTATCGCCGGGCATCGACCAAATGAATGTTATCTCTACACGCGGCACAGCCGGTACTCACGCTCTGGCCAGACGCACCCTCCTCAGCGCCACTGGTCCCCCGCCGCACACAACAATAACAGCAGCAACAATAACAACAGCAACAACAACGTTGATTTGATTATTTCGGCAAATTCATTTCGCGACTCTTATCGCCTCAAGGTCACGGGCAAATACCAAAACATTCACACACACACACACAGATACAAATACAGGCCATAGAACAGGCGCGACATTGAAAATAATCGCTTCGTGGGTAGGAAGAAGAAGAAGAAACCGCAAATATGTATTTTTCTTTTATTTGTTGTGAGTGTGTGCTTGTGTGTGATAAGCCCGATGATTAAGTGATGGTGGAAAAAGGGGTAGGCGAAGGGGCGGAGCGGCCAAGAGCAATGAGTGTTTCTATATCCAAGGGTAACTCAAGACCCAAACCATTCCCAAAATAAGAACACTGGGTATTTATTTTTTTTTTCATAATTTTTTTGTTTGATATATTTTAAATACTTATGCTTAAAATATTATTCACATATTCCATTCTGTGGAGGGGGGGAGGGGTGTATTTCGTTTAAAACAAACTGCAATATTATTTTATTTCACAAATACAAATATTGTTTTTTTTTTAATTGTTTGCTTTTTTATGGAGATTTAAACCGATTTTTGGATACATTTCTTCGCACTCTCTCTCTCTCTCGCTCTTTCTCTCAATCTCTCACATTCTCGGTCGCATTTTTCCACTTATTTTTTTTGCCAAAAATTTTCATTTTTAAAAACTTTTTTTTTTCGCAGTTTGATTTTTGACTGTCTTTTTGAAAATATATTCATGTGTGCATATGTATATTTATATATATATATATATTTGTTATAGATATTATTTATATGGTATGCCTCAGCTGGAGTTACGTTCAAATTTCTTTTACTTTTTCGATTTTTCCCTTTAACTGGGTTGTTACGTTACGTTACGTTACGTTCAACTCTTACGTCTGTTTACAATTACGGTTTACATATTTACGTGTACTTTTTACGCTTAATTGTCGCAATTTCATTGTTTCAGTTGTCGCTGCGCCGGTCGTTTCGATAGGGACTCATCAATCTCCCAACTACCATCTGATGATGATCATATATCCCCCCTATATCCTACCATGCTGAAGTAGTTATTTTTTACATAAAATATTTCACTTTTAGATACACAATACAATTGTTTTTTGTTTTTGTTCTGGCTAAAATTTTCGGACAATGTTACACCTACTACACACAGACATCAAAATCGTTTCATCTACATATCTGTATATATCCATACACTATATATATATGTATAGTACTATAGTCAATTATTGAAGTGTGATATTTCTGTTAATCTTTTGTGGGTTTTCTTTTGTTAGAACCCTTTTCCTTCATAATTTCTCATGCCATTCTTCCGCCTGCCCGTTCGTCCTGCTGTACTTTGCATAAATTTTAAAAGAATATAATATTTCTTGTATGTAGATTTTTCGCAACTCTTCCTAAACGGATTTTCCATCCCATCCAAAATTATGAACCTCTTCTATAAAGTTCTCGTCTTCCTTCTTCTTCGTTTTTTTGTATTTTGTTTTTTTTTTTTTTCATTTATACACATAAAATTTTTGTTGATTTAATTCTGATATAAATACTTGAGATATAATTTGGTGAGTATTTTTTTACAGACGCGGTAGTCAAAAGAAAAAAACTAAAAAAAACTGAAACGAAAGCTTACCATTTTTAAACAGTGGAAAACCATTAAAATGTAAAAACTGAAAATGGAAAAACCTTCCCAACTGAAAAAAAGAAATAATTGAAATGAAAAAAACTGAAGATGTTTGTTGAAATTTTTTAAACAAATTTTTTTTATTGATTTGACAATACAAATTTCTGCGCCAGTGTTGGATTTTTTTTGTGGTTTGTTTGTTTTTTTTGTTGTTTTTTTTTTGTGGTTTTTGTTTTTCTGTTTTGTTGTTGTTGGTTTGTCTAAGCATAAAAATAGTAATTAATTAATTAATTAATCGTAATCATTTAATAATCATAATCGTAATAGTACAGCGTAATTATAAGACAATTAATGTAATAGTTTTTTGCTACCGCAAGTGTTTCATTTTCTTTTCTTGTTTTTTTTTGTTTTGTTTTAATATAAATTTATATTTTACTTTTTTAAATAATATATCATAATTTCTGTTTTGTTTGTATCATTTTTTTGTTTGTTGTTTGTTTTGTATTTTTTGCCTGGTTTTTCCAATCGAACATTGAATCGTTGAAGCATTTATATTTATGTGTACCTAGATGTACGCTTTAAATATGGTTTTTGTTTTGTTTTGCTTTGTTTAATTTAGCATTTAACTATGTACACAACAGATATACTTAACGTTGGGTTTCCGCTCTCCTTCTTTGCTTCCATCATTTTTTTAAGCATTTTTGCGTTTGATTTTTCTTCCATTTAATTGTATTTTTTGTGTTAGTTTTTTCGTTTAAAATTAGAAAACAATATTTTTCACCCCATTTCAAAGAATTAGGGGATGGGGTGTTTTTTTTTTTTTGTGCCAAGGGAAAGTACAAAAACGAAAGCTACAGATACAGATAGAGAGGGTGGGCGCGGGAGGGAGAAAAAACTATAACAAGTTTCGTATAAAATTAGTCAAAATTCATAAAAAATGAATCGTAATTTGTGGCCAAAACTGCCTTTCGGAGATCGCACAATAAAATTTCACACATATTTGTTTTTTGTTTAGGTTTTTTGTTTTGTTTAATATTTAATAATCATAATATAATAATAATAATAATAATTTGCAGTTTTTTCAAAAAACATCCAAAAAGCAAAAGTAGTTTTTGCATCTAAAAACTAAACCGTAAGCATAAATTAAATATAAAATAATTAATATATATACAACAATAGTGCTTAAAACGTATAAAAACAATCGGGGCTTTCTGATTGGGTGGGGTTGGGTTGTGGGGGGAAGGGATGGTCTCTTCGCTCTACTTTAAAGTTTAACTGCTAAAATATATATGCATATTCCTCTCTCCCTCTCTCTCTCTCTCTGGTTTCCTCGTGGTGTGGTAATACCTTCAAGCGTGGGTTTAAATTAATAACTTTTAGTTTTTTTTCTGTTGTTCTCTTCCATTAAATATAGTATTTCCTCTTAATCCATCAACTGGTTGGTTGCATTCCCTCTCCCGATCTTTTTGTACAAGAATCTCTCACGAAACTCTCTAAAATAACTTAATCCCCTCTCCTCTCCGCACTCTCCGCACTCTCCGCACTCTCCACACTCTCCACACTCTCCACACTCTCTCTCTATCTATCTCTCACATCATCCCCCTAAGGACCAGTGTCAGTCTCTGTCTCACCTTCTTTACCGCCAGCCTACAGCCAGCCAGGCGCAGCTTACGCCTCTAGCATGACCTTGTGCACGGCCGCAACAGCCGGCGGGCTGTTGCTCGGTGCCGGACTGGCCGACTTCGAGGGCGGACCACCCCCGCTTGATGCAGTCACCGTCACATCGGCGGAGAGAGTGGGGTAGCGCTGCACAGCATTGGCGGCGGCCACTAGGGCGTGCAGCTTGCTGGGCGGCGGCGTTGGCGACTTCTTGGACAGGTTGAGGGGCTGTGCCGAGTCGGCAATGTCCACCTGCAGCTCCAGCAGGGGGCTGGAGGAGGCAGTGGCTGCGACTGCACCGTTGCCGGCTGTGCCTGCCACCGAGGAGCTGCTGGTGGAGTGCGGCGACTGGAAATACTGGCAGCTGCCGACAGAGCTGGAGCTGCAGTTGCTGTTGCTGTTGCTGGATGATGAGCTGGACGACGACGAGGAGCTGGAGCTGGAGGAGCTGCTGCTGCTGCTGCTCCCGTTGCTGTGCGGCGACACCGACTGCTGCCTCTGCTGGCAGGTGGTCGTGATCACCGAACTGCTGCCCCAACGCTGCGGTGCCGGCGGCGGCGGACTGCTGGTCGAGGGCGAGGCGCAGTGGCTGCTGGGGCTGCGTCCGCCAATGCTCGCCGTGGAGGAGGTGGTGCTGCTGGCCAGCGCGGTGGTGCCCGGCTCACGCTTCAGATAGTTCTGGATAATGTCGCTCCGCTTGATCTGCTCGGGCGTCATTCGTGGCTCCGCCATCAGCGACTTGGCCAGCACCGAGTGGGAGCTGGCCATCGATACCTTGGGGCCCTGCACCTGGGGGCTGCTGCTGGGGCTGCCGCGTGTCAGGTGCATATGCAGCTGGCTCTGGGCCGGCACTCCAGACACTCCCGTCATGCCTGCCGATTGGGGCGGCGGCGTGGCCACACTGGCTGGTATGGGGCTCTGGCGCGGACTGAGGGCGCCCAGGCTGTGGGTGGAACTGCTGGCGTCCGCCTCCGCGGACTCGAATTCACGGTGGCGCAGGGCCCGGAACTTCTTGTGCGGCTTGTAGGCCTCGTCCATCAGCGAATTGGTGTCGTACAGCGGCGGTGCCTGCAGCACGCGCTTCAGCACGGGCATATCCTCGACAATCTGACGCTTCAGATGCATATTGGCGCTGCTCGAGGGCTGGGGCGAACGGACCGGAGAGACGGCCACCACGCTCAGCTGCGGATTGACGGCGGCCACCGCCTGGGCGGCGGACACCTGCGCGTCGCTGCAATCGAGGGCATCGTCCACACTGGAACGGGGACTGGAGCAGGAGCTGCTGCCGCCCGAGGAGACGGCCTTGCATTCGTTCTTCTCGTTGCCCGACTCGATGCCCGAGTCCGTGGGCGAGTCCAGCTTCCGGTAGCGACTCCCTGCCCCCGCCGTCAGGTGGTGGTGCAGCTGCGGATGCTGCTGGTGCTGATGTTGATGCTGCTGCGTGGGATGTTGCTGCTGCTGCTGCTGGGCGTGCGCCTGCTGTTGCTGATGGTGGGGATGGGGCTGCTGCTGCTGCTGTTGCTGCTGCTGCTGTTGGAGGTGGTGCCGCACAATGGGCGTGATTGTCAGGCCGTTCTGTGTGAGATGCGCATGCGAGCCAACAATGTCCATGTCGGCGGCACCGGAATCACCACTGGAGCCAGAATTGGCGCGATTGCGCAGTGGACAGCCGCCCGAGAGGGTGGCCGCCAAAAGTGGAGCCGAACTGGCCAATGCCGATGGTTGTGGCGGTGAGGCGGCGGAGGCCTGACCGACCTGCTGCTGCTGCTGCTGTTGCATGGATGAGCTGCTGCTGGGTGAACCATAATCGAGATCCGCCGACTCTGTGCTGGACACAGAGCCCAGGGGGCTCTTGGCCGCCTCCACGTCCATGGCATCGGCCCAGCTGGCGGCTGGGGATTTGCCAGACGACGCATCCTGTCCCTCCTCCATGCTCCACATCTGCTGGCGGAGCAGCTCCTTGTGCTCGGTGCGGAAGACGACCAGCTTCTCGGTGTGCAGGGTGCTGAGGGTCCTCAGATCGGGCATCGTCTCCAGCAGCTTGGTGAGAAAGTCGGGCTGATCGGGCCGATTCTGGGCCACAATGTACTGCAGGCAGCCCTTGAGACGGCTGTACATCTTCTCGATGAGCTCCAGATTGCGCAGACCGGGGCGATCGGGCGTGATCAGGACGATGGCGCAGAAGAGGCCGATCTCGGCGTCGGTGAGGTTCATCGAGTTCATGCGCTCAGCAAAATTAAATGTGGAGTCCACCAGGAAGCGGGCATTGGCCCCATTCTGGATGGCATCGCGACGCATCACCTGCCCATTCAGGCAGATGATCGAGTTGATCGACGAGTCGAACATGCAGATCAGACGCACGAACAGGGCATCGAAGAGGCCCGCCTTGAGGAGCGTGAATTTGTCGTCCTGTGTGAGCAGCTGGAAGCCGGGTATCATGCCCGCAAAATCGATCACGCCGCGAATAACGTGGGCGAAGCGTTGCGAGAACTCCTGTTCGGATTGCAGTTCGGGGGCGGGATTGAGGGGGCAGGCCTGCAAAGGGAACAAGAGAAATGATAAACCATTAGTAACTGTTGCATCTCACTCCCACAACACACACACACACACACATTCGATTCGCTCTCTCTCTTTCTCTCTCTCTCTCTCTCTGTGTCTCACGTCATTGCTCGTTTGGGCACACGAAGGTCAGCGAACTGCTGTGCCCGCTTGCTCCCTTACATTGTATCGCTTAAATCAATAATCAACAACTATTTTCGACTTCCGCAACGCCCACTCTCTCTCTCTCTCTCTCTCTCTGGGAATGTGTTCTCTCTCTCTCTCTCGTTTATGTCGCATTTCCTTATACGCTGGAAGCTTTTACTAAAAACCAAAGGAGAGAGAGAGAGCGCGCGCCCTACCTACCTAACGACGTCAGCTTTCGTTTGTTCTATTAGTTTTTGTTGTTTATAGTTTCTAGGGGCGGTTTTTGCTCTCTCTCTCTGAGCGAGAGCTTTCATATGCCGCCTGTGTCTGTGTGTGGCCTGACATTACCCGCCAAGGTCGACGAACTAGAGTTCAAGGTTCCGGGTTTGCCGTTGTGTTGTGTTGGCGCGTGTTCGCACGCAAGGAAAGGAGAAGCAGGCGCTGGCAGGCGGAGGGGGGCGGCCACCACTGTTGTTCATGTTATTCCGCCATTTGGTTTTCCGGGTTTTCAGTTACATGAACATGCGCCGCCGACCGCCCAGTGAACGTGCCCCGATATCACACACACATATACAACCCGCACACCCTTCCCCCCATCCCCCTCTATCTATTGTTCTTCTCATCGACTTAATTTTTAATTTATGTTTGATTTTCATACATGCACAAACGTGTCTTTGTGCTCGGTTCTGTTTCAATAAGCAGCAGCAACACAGCAACACCACCAACACACACACACACACACACGTTGTGCCGTGTGATTGCCACCTCCTCATCCCATCGAAAGAAATAAAAATCTGTCTGCAGATTAACCTTGAAAGTGTTTTTGCACCTCTCTCTCTCTCTCTCTCCCCTCTCTCTGTCTCTCTTGCTTTTAAAAACAAGAAATGCCGACACACCGGCAACCGGCAACGAAGCGCGCAAGAACCAGACGGCGACGACGATGATATTCTTTCGTGTGTGTGTGGTGGTGCTTTCTTTGTGTTTTCGGTTCTTTTTGCCGGTTCGGTCGGCGCTTTGACGTCGTAGTTTGGTATGCGCCAGCGTCAGCATCAGCTGCGTAGGACTCGTATCATGGATACCCTTTCCTGGCATACTAAAATCAAAGTCGTTTAATTTTCATATTTCTAGTGGCCGCCCTTGTTTCCCCAGGGTATCTAAACCTTCGTGTCTAGCCTATGGCCTTTCGCTTGTTTTGATTTTTCTAGAAATATTTTTGCATGTGCGCAAAAGCGGAAATAGTTCTTGGGTTTTTGCTCAAAAATACTAATGACTGGGGGGGCTATTTATGAGTACATCTCGCTCCCCCCACCGTAAGACGTTTCCCGTCCCACATATCTCTGCCGGCATATCACAAGACCTTCAATTTGTTTGCCAAAAATAATTCCCCAGAATTCTCTTAGCAGTCACAGTGGGGGGGGAGGGGGAATGAATTGAGGTATGGATTGAATAATCTATCTCCTAGGGCTAATCAGCTTTTGCTTTCGAGTAGAATTTTCTATTTCTAGGGGGCAGGGGACTACACACAGACACAAAGAGATGAGATGTGATGATCATCGCTCGATCCGAAACCCTCTCACCTTGCACGCTGTCTGCTAGTTCGTTTTCCGTTTTCCGCCTTCCGTCATAACGCAATTGCTTTTTACATACGTCGCATATTACGTGTCGTATCACCGCCCCACCACACCACACCCCCCATGAACCACCTGACATTCTCTCTTGCCATCTCTCGCGCTATCTATCTGTACCGCTCTCTCAGTCGTCTGTCGTCTGGCATATTTTGCTTCCTCATATATTCCCTCACATTTTATGCATATTTGAGTGCATTTTTTTAGTGTTATTATTGTTTGCTCATTTGTAGGGGTACTGCTCTGCTCGTTGGGGTTGTAAGGGGAGGGGGAGCAGGGCGAGCGCCAGCGTGCGCTCGTTTCATTCTGACCAAGGTTAAAAAATAGCTTTGTCCGAAGGTCGTATGTATTTGTGTGTGTGTGCACCGTTCTATGAATGTTCTGATATTTCTACGACTGCAGACGGACGGCAGACTTGGGCTACATTAATCGTTCCACATATCAGTGCCTTACTCCAGCTGCGCCTTTGTTGTATTTTTGATCCTCCAATATTATCATCAATATCTTATTCTAACTGTCGCTCTATAGACCTGCCGCCTGTAACATTATTTGTTTATTTGTTTTATCTTGAACCGAAATTCGAATTATTTTTGCCTTGCACTTGACTCTGCCTTGACATTGACTCTACCTCTACGCCTCTCCCTCTCTGTCGATGGCGCTGTCTCTGTCTTGTTCTAACTCTTTTGTTCTCTGTCCTCTCTCTCTCTCTCTGTCTCTCTCTCTGGCTATCTGCTTCTTGTTGCTGTGCTGGCGCTTTTAAATATTTTAATAATAATTTATTTAAATGACCAACGCATGTGCCTGTCTGTCTTTCTGTCTGTCCCCTACCCACACCCCATCACCGATCACCGATCACCGCTCACCGACTGTCTGTTCTTTTTGGCTCTGCTTCTTCTAACACTCTGTCTCGCTTCCACTCGCACTCTCTATGTGTGTGTGCTTTCATTAATAATGACGCTGCGCTTGACCTTGAGCTTTAGAACTGTATTTGTATAATTTGTGTATTTTTGCTATTGTTGTTGTTGTTTGCTTTGACATTTTTGTTGTTGCGACACGTTTTTCTTTATCGCTTTTTTTTTTTTGCCATTCCAACGATCGGGGGGAATTTTTTGCCATGAGTACATACATACATATATACCGCATATACCCTATACAAATGGGATTAGATCTATGTATGTACTGGCGAGCTGGTACCCAGCGGGTAGGTGGGTAACCCTCATATGGCTGCGACTTCCTCTTCCCTGTACACCAACACCAGCTAGTGACCTCCCTCCGCTGCTGCTGCTGCTGCCTGCTGCCTGCTGCCTGCTGCTGCTGTTCCAATCTAGTAATCTAGCAGATCTAGAGCCATATCTGGTTACCACCCCCGCCACGCCCCACCTCCATTGGCTCGATCTATTTGCTCTGACCCCCTCGGCGCACGTAAACTGTGACGTCACGTCGCTACATAAACACCAAAAACCAAAACAAAAGTTGAATTTTACAAGCAGCGCCAGCCATTTATCATTCAGACTGTCTTGGGAGTGGGGAGGGGGGCTGGGCTGTCAGACTGTCCATCAGAGTTTACTTTGGAACGTCATAAATTTGACATTGACAGGTTTTTCTTCACATAGAACTTGACCCCAAACCGTTGCCGCTGTCGCTGTCGCTGCCACTGCCACTGCCGCACTTTCAATGTCTGTCCGAATGGCCATTTGGAGGTCTTGCAAGAACTGAGCGCGCGCGCGCACGAGTGGAGCGGTACGCTACGTGCGAGCCATGCCACCGATTTCCTGGTTTAGAATCATGCAAACAGGTTCACCTTGGCGCATGACTAACCCAAACCAAATGCCGCGACTGTTTCTGTATTACTGGCAGATCTCTGAGATCTCTCTCGCACTCACTCGCTGTGGATGTCGCTGTGGGCCCCCGGAAATGTGACTTGTCTCAGAGCTAGGATACTGCCTACGATGCCGCTGCAACCTTTTCCGAGCTACATATTACGATATATGCCAGATCTATGACTTATTCTTATGTGTAATTTGTGATCTTTAGTTTCTGGGACTTACCAGCAATGTTGGCATCGAATAGGAGGGGCAATCGCGAGCCCGTTGCCGCATGGCCGAAACCTTCTCCTTGGTAAATTCGCACGTCTCAAGATGGGCGCGCAGGACGGCGGCCAACAAACGGGGCTGATCGTCCAGCTCTGTGGCCAAAGCACGCTGCTGGCCCCGGTTCTGTGTGCTCTGCTGCATGGCGGCAAGGATGCGCGCCTTCTCTCGCTTCGGCACGCGACCAAAGCGCACAGCTGCAAATGCACAAAGAGAGAGAGAGAGAAGATGTAGGTTAGTTTCAGGTAATCGTTGCTTAAAACTTAAACTTTAAGGTAAACGTAAAGGTAAAGGGGCCCGTCCCCTGCCCCCCTCCCAATTGCCTTCCATCAATTACACGCTTCATTGCTGTGGATGGCAGGTGCAAGGGACAGCTGTTGCTGTTGTCCTGCTTGTCACGCAGGAAGTGCCTGTACCGTCCCTGTACCGCTGCTGCCTCACAGTCTCTCCTGTAATTTAGTGCCCTTGAAAGTGGGTCATTGCCTCAGCTGCTGTTGCTACTCTGCTGCTCTGCTGCTCCACTCCACTCAACTCTTCTCTTTGGTTTTTTTTTTGGCTTGTTACACTTTCTCTTTTCTTTTTAGATTTTTAACCAAAAACACACACAACAGCATTTGTATGTGGGTGAACTTTCACATTTCACCAAAAACCAAAAAGAGAGAGGGCGACATGAAAGCGAGACAGGGACAGAGACAGAGATAGGACACATTTGCGACACGTTTGCGGTCACGTTTTTCGCACCAACCAACAAAAAGAAGACAGCAACAACAAAAAGAGGGCACCACAAGCAGAAGAAGAGCACTGCCAGCATCCACAGAAAATATAATAAAGCTAACAATCGAGTTTAGGGAGTGGAAGAGCATTGCCAGCCTTAAAAGTGAGTGCTCCAAAAGCTTCGATAGTTTCTAGAGTCTAAGGATTTTCCTCTCAGTTGATCTTTGGTGTGGGCTTCCCATTGGCGTGCTTCCTTTTTGCTGGCCAACTTTTCAATGTCAAAAGAAATTTCTACAAAATTTCACTCAGCCACACAAATAAAAGAAGAAAAAAAAACAACAAAACTGGCGCAACACAGAAAAAGTGAAACAAGACGAGAGACGGCTGGACCGCTCTTTTGCCGATTTTTTACTACACTTTTCCCAGCTAGCTGCTGCTGCTGCTGCTACACTGCGAGAAATTGACCCACTTGACTGGCAGGGCGAAATCCAGGTCAAATGAAATGGAAAATGAAATGCTGCCTGCCTGCCTGCCTGCCTGCTTGCCAGTCAGTCGGCAGTCGGTCGCTGCGGCTGCGCGTAGAAATTAGAGCAAGCTGCGCCGCCGCCGCCGCCACTGCGTCCCAACTTTCCAAGAAAGTTGGTCAAACATGCGGCGCTGTCACTGACGCTGCCGCTGCTGCTGCTACTGCTGCTGCCACTCTTTTAGAAAATAGCAAGCGACGCAGCAGCGCAGCAGCGTTGCCAGCCTTCACTTCACCGAAGCTGCGTTTCAAGTTTAAAGCTCTTCCGCGGCAAGCATAGCAGCAGCCGCCCCGCGCCGCGCCGCACCGCACAAATTATTGTCTGTTTAAAAACGAGGTCAACACTCAATGGCGCTCGAAAAAAAAAAAGGTAAACAGCGCGAGAAACAAAAAAAAAAAAGAAGCGAATCAAAGTCAAAGCCGAGTCGGAGGAGAGCATCTATGGGGAGTTAATGTTTTTGGTTTTTATTTTTATGTTTGGAAACCGAAAGCGTTGAGGTGTATGGGGCAGGGAAACTGTGTCAGTTGGAGCATTAGGGAAATTTCTTTCACTTTCTAACTCTATGGAGATCGGGAGATCGGCAGATCAGAGATCTATGTGTGGAAACTTACGCGCATTGTGATAGTTGACATTGCCTTTGAGTATCCCCTTCAGTATTGGCAGTTCTTCGCCCATTTTTTAGCGGTATTTTTTGTGTATCTGAATATTTATGGGTATTTATTTTGTGTGTTGTATTCCCAAAAATGTTTTCTGGTTTACACTTTTCTCCCTATGAGATTCTGCTGGGCACTCATTCGAGTATTCATGAATAATTCTGGGCTTGGTTTTGGATTTTCCTTTTTGGCACTCGGAAGGGGAAAAACTGCAGCTTGATATATATATATCTTTTTTTTTGGTTTAACTTTACACTATGTTTATTTTGGATTATGTTTTCTTAGATATTTGCCACTAATTTCAAATATTTTGTATTTTTTTCTTTGCTTTTAGTTTCGTTTTTTTTTTCAAGGAACTTTCTTTGCTTTTTTTTTTAGCTTGTAAGAACTTTTTGCAATTTTCACAATTAATTATAATTTTTGGAATTTGTATTAAATATTTTCAAATATTTAATAATTTAATATTTATTTGTTGTTGTTTCATTTAGCGCGTAATCCAGACAAAACGGGTGTGGGTAGTGTGGGTTTTTGGTGTGTGTATGGGTTGAGACTTGGTCGACTTTTCGTCATCTATTTATGTTATTAATTTATTTAATATTTATTTCTTTTTGGTTTGGTTTGGTCAACACTCGCGTTCTTCACGGGGCGGCTCGGGCGGGCTCAATGCTCAAATATCTGAATCTGTATCTGAATGTGAGTGCTCCTCCGCTGACATGACAAAACTCGACAAAATCTCGAACGCGAATAACTGTAAACGCCGCAGCACGTCACCGAATATACCAAAGCAAAGCAAAGGCAGGCAGGCGGCAGCAAAGGCAAACCAACTCTGAGCGCGGAGCAGCACAAAACAGAGAGCCAGCCAGTTAGGGACAGAGAATGACAGAGAGAGAGAGAGAGCGCTCTTAAGAGCGGGAGAGTAAAGCTTGGAATTGCATGTTCTCTTGCTCAGTTCTCTGAGCGAGTGTGATAAGGTTTTATATGCGAGAGGCTAGCAAGTCATTCGATTTTACAATTTTTAATTTATTTATATTTATATTTAATTTAATTGCATTCATTTATATTATTTTAGTTTATAACATTTTTTTTCTCGTTTTAAACCGTTTCTATTCACGTGTGTTCAAGTTCAATCCAGCTATGATAAGCTTTGCCTGATAAGCTTGCCGTCTCCCTTTCTGGTTGCAACAACCAGCTGCCTACCCACAAAAGTTCAATGTTCGCGCGCCACCAAAGACAACAAACTGAACCTGAACTCGGCAGAGCGACAGAGAGAGAGAGAGCGCTCGCTTAAGAGAGAACGGAAAGCATTCATTCTCTTCAGCTAGAAAGCTCTCTTAAGCTCTCGCAAAGCTTTTCAACACACCTCAAAGAGCGTTGGTGTGTTGAGTTTTACATTTAAGAGCGCCAAAAGCTTTATGGAAGAGCTTTTTTCATACTTGGTTTTTGTTTTCTTTTTGTTATTAATTTTGTTGTTGTTGCTGGTAGGATTTGAACAGTGCGTATGCGTGTTTTTTGTAGTTGCATCCACTCATACTCATACTTAATATTGACAGGTGGAAAAACTGGGCTGGTCTACGGGTCTGGAGGCTGAGGCCAGTAAGGAGAGTATGTATTTAAATGAATCTTAATGATTTCACGCTTGAGTGTATAATTTATGACGCTGCTGGCCCCGTCTGGCGGCAGTCGAGGGTTGACAGTCGACGCCTCCCACAGCCCTCCTGCGTCAACCTGCTACTACGAGTCACGCTGTGCATCTGCTTCTGCCCTAGAGTCCATTTAGTCCAAGGATTCGGTTAACTTATGACTAACTGATTGTCAGCTCTTCGCCAGACCCCTCCACCACTAACTCATAAGTGCTCTCACTCCACTCCATTCCACTCCGATTCGTTTGTTTATTCAAACTTTTCGAGTTTGTCATGGCTTGGAAACGAATCGAAACGAATGGTAGTGGTGGTGGTGGCATGGGGAAGTTCCCCTGGTCAATGAACTTAGCCGCTGGAATGGGGCCAACACAAACGAGCAACAAAAAAAATACACACAAACAACAAAAATTTAATAATCATTTCAGCGATGAGCCATTGAGGTCTTTCCGTGTGTCTGTTTGTCTGTTTGTCTGTTTGGCTGTTTGGCTGTTCGTCTGTTGCTTTGGACGAAAGTAAAAGTGAAAGTTGTTTTGCTTATTTCGGGTAGAAATTTTCGTGCGTGTGTTGTGGAAATGCAAACGCGGACGGAGACGCAGACGGCGGGGCCACAACGATTCGGCAACTTGACCAACTGTTGGTTGCTGGTTGGGAGGTGGAGGCAGTAGGCCTATAAACTCGAGTTGCATAAGACCCCCCATAAGATTGGGGCTAAAGACCAAACAGACAGACACAAAAGACCCAACTGGAAGCAACACGAAAATGTTTTCGATTTGATAACACAGTTTTTGGGGGAGGTCTCAATTAGTTGCAACTTTGGGCACTGATGGGCTGCTGCTAATTTGTGTTCGAACTAAACAGAAAATAAATCAAAGTTAAATAATGAATATCAACTGATTTTATGCAGCCCAATACCAAGACTTATGCAAGTCTCTCTGCCCAAAGGAAAAAGATGAAACCGAAACCAGTTCAAAGTAGCCATGCCCCCACATCTCTACTCATTTTGTGTCTCTCACAATAATTGACATTCACAATAAAGACCCGCACAATGCCAGCAATTAAAAGCCAATTAACAAGTTTCACTTTCTCTGGGCAGTGCTACACCCCTGCTCTGCCCTCTCCCCTCACGCTATTTCGCCCTGAATCAAGTTGCTTTCTCAATGCGCTGGGGCATATGATTTCTGGTTGTTATTTATTATTGGGGGGGCATTTGTTTTGGCAGAGACTTCCTGAATTACGGAGAAATGGTCGCTAATTGTAGCACTAAGCTTAAGTAAATAAAAGCCAAAACTTGTTGGAGAGAGAGAGAGAGAGAGAAGAGTACGAGTCGCACAGGGAGAGTTCAATGCACTCGCCGATGAGGCAAAGCCAGAGTTGCAATCAGGAAGCGAGACACAGAGCGGCGGAGAGAGAGATAGGCCTACTTTCGGTTTTGGGGTAGGAAGGTGATTCACAAACACCTTTTTTTGGTAGTGGCGAGAGGGGGGGGGGGGGCCTTTACGTAAAGTCACATAAGCGACAGACAAAATTGTTGTTGCTTCAGTGGCTGTCGCTCGCTGCTTGCGTAAGCGATCGAAGAGTGTGGAAAGAAAGAGAGAAAGAGAGAGAGACACACTCACACACTTACACAAGCGAAACGATACCGAAGAAAGGGGGACAACGTGTAATA